TCAGTTAATTATTAGATTGTAAAGAACAAAACAACTATCAAATTCATCTTAATCCAATCTCTATTTAAACATGGGAAGTGAGAAATGCATCTTTCATCATTTTATTTTCTTTTACCACCCTCTACAATTAAAGCTTTTAGGAATGGCAATAGGGTGGATTCATGGCAGGGCACCTCTTATCCCTCACCGTTTTGTAGCTAAAATCTCCTATCTTGTCTCCAATGGCAAGGCAGAACACCTCTTTCCCAATGGGGATAGGGAATCATTGAAAATTTATTAACCCAAGGCAATTACCTAATTATATATTATATTTAGTGTTATTTCAAAAATAAGATTGTAGGAATTTGGGAATATTTTAAAAATTGGTTAGGAGATATTAAAGTGTTTTTTTGGAAAATAAGATCTTAAAGATTTTAGGAATCTGTAAAAATGTAGGAATATTTTAGAAATTAATATTTTATCTTAAAAATATTTTAATAATTTATGATTGTTATTAGGGCGGATCTGAAAAATTATAAGATGATATGCAAATCTCATCCCTTTATGTTGCATTAAGGTCCCGTTCGCTTTTCGGTAAGTTACTTACCTGGGCAAATGTACTTACCTGGGTAAGTGTTTCCTGTGCTTTTATTTCTCATGTAAATAAGGCAATGACCATTTTATCCATCAAAATCAATTATTAAAAAATGGCATTTTTGTCCCATTCAAGTGTTGACAACTTTCCTCCTAGGTGAGAAAGTTATTTACCCACCTAGGAGGAAAAATCCCATTCAAGTGTTGACATTTTTGTCCCACTCAGGTAAGTGATACCTAGGAAAATAAACTTTCCCTTGTCCCCACATAAATCTGAAAAAATAAAAAACATGGGATTCTTAGTCAATGGGAACCAAAATCCCATTGACTAACTTCCCCCCCCCCCCTCTCAAAATCCGAAAAAAGAACGCCCCCTAAAGAGAATTAAGGGTGGGGACAGAACATGCCAACATGGTAAGGGATGACGCCCATGAGTTCACATTTTCTGTCCCCATGTCTTACAAAAAATTTTTTGTACTAGACCAATAGCAATCTGCCACATCATTTAAAAAATCACTTTAATTTTGAAATGGGAGAAACTTTCTGGTGTGGCAAATTGCTATTGGCCTGGTATGAACAATGTACCAAGGGGACAGACAATGTGAATTCAATGCCCATTGCCCTTGACTTGAGTTTACATCTTCTGTCCCCTTGGTACAAAAAATTCTTTGTACCAAACAATAGCAATCTACCATGAGTATGAATCACTTGCCAACAAATCATGTTCCAATCCTCTACCAACATGAACTCACACCACACATCTAATACATGGTGAGTCCCATTTTTATGATGGGTCCTAGGGTTGGGACGCATTTTATTGGCAAAAATCCCAGATCATCTTCCATATAAATACTACTTTAAAAAGCACAAATAGCCTCAAAAATATTTTTGGATTTTTTTAGTACAAAATTTACCCCTCTATATTTAAATTTATTGATAGAATGAGGGCAAATATGATAATTGGTTATTGATATTAAATGAGTTGAAAAGATATAATTTTAAGATATTCAATGCATTCAATTCCCTCTCATTAAATCTAACATTTGAGTTATTAACTTGTACTCATGTTCATTGAATCATATATTTAACTCATTTTTGTTTCTTATCATCATTAATTTCTATTAATTAAATCCATACTTAATAAATTAATAATTACAATAAAGCTTATACTTTTAAAATCTACCTAGAAAAAATAGTGTTTTCATCTAGGTGGTGGTAAGAAATTAAACAATTTTGGGTCAAATGGGTCAATCCATGTTGCCACGATTAAATAATGAAATTCAAAAATAGATAAAATGAAAAAATTTGGAAACATTTTTAACATACATATTAAACAATAATAAGCATAATAAATAATAAATGTTTTTATTAATGATGGAAATGGAATGTTGTTGCCATGATTAAATAATGAAATTCAAAAATGGATAAAATGAAAAATGAAAAATTAAAAAAATGGGGATATTTTTAAAATACATATTAAATAATAATAAGTATGATAAATAAGAAATATTTTTATTAATGATGGAAATGAAATGTAAAATTTAAAACCAATTGGAAATAAAAATATTTTCTTATTCTCTTTCATTAAAACCTATATTTAAAATATATTTTTCTCATTGTTAAATTCTTGTAATTAAATCCACAATATTAATTCTAATAGTATAAAAATAATAAATATTTTGAAAACAAAACCATTTTCTTCCCTGGTGGGCAAGCAATTCGACCATTTGGGATCAAATGGATTAATAAATAATATCATAATTAAATAATAAAATAAATAAGTATGAAATGTAAGAAGTATTTTTATTAATGATGAAAATGGAATGCCAAATTTAAAATCTATCTAAAAATGAAATGGTGCCATAGTCAAGTAATAACATTTGTAAAAATAGAAAATACAAAGAATCACAAAAAAAGTTAGAGAAAAATTTTGGCACATATCTAATGCTATATGTTCATAATAAATAAAATATTGGGTACATTTCTAATATTATGCATTCATTATATTGAACAAAAATAAGTATTGTATATAAGAAATAATTTTATCAATGATGGAAATGTAATACAAAATTTAATGTCAACCTAAAAATCAAACTAATTTTCTTTTTGGGTGGTGGGTTAGTGGTTTGGGTTTAATGATATCATATACAAACAAAAATTAAGTGTAATAAGTAAAAATTATTTTATATAATGTAAATGAAATATATAATTTAAAGGGAAAATTATAATCAAAGTCAGTTGTACATTTTAAATTAGGGTGCAAGTTTGTCCAGAAACTAACAAAACTTTGACAACCAGTTCTACATTTCAAATTATAAAAACCCCTACCATGTCATCGAAGCTTATGTGGTTATTGCCAACATGGGACTCTTAATATATGTTGGACACAACAAAAAGCCTATACTAAAAATAAGTTTTCAATTTTTCTCCCACTCCCTCTATCTCTTGGTCTCTCTCCCTATATATATATATATATATCGTTCTCCCTTAGTCTTTCTCTCATTCACTCTTTCGTTCTTTTTTTTATTTTTCTTACAAACTTATACAATATTAATAAGACCGTATAAGATAACTAAAGGGACTAACCACTTGTATAATCAATTTATAAATTTATATCAAGTTGGTGTAAATTTCATAGCCAAGAGTTTCTTGTGAATTTTTATTAAATTGGTGTAATGGTTTTTGAACCATATCCAATTGGTCTCATGTTCTTTTATGCGATTTGATTAATACCATATAAGTGTATAAGAAAATAAAAACAAAAAAGAATGAAAGAGTGAGTGGAAGAAAAAGAGAATGAGAGAGATTGAGGGAGAACGCTAGGTAGAGAGAGAATAAGAGAAATTGATAGAAATAACGTAAATACAGAAATCGAAAAATTATTTTGATTTATTTTCAAATCACATAGTTGTTGAGCAAAGAGAGACGACTCTAAGAATGAGAGAGTGGGGGAGATTGAGAGAGAGAGAGAGAGAAACTAAAAACCTTTTTTTTTTTTAATTTTCCGATCACCCAACATTAAAGGGCAATTTCAATATAAATTTTATATTGTGTCCAACATGGATTAAGTCCCATATTGGCAACAACCACATAAGCCTTCAATGACATGGCGGGGTTTTTTATAATTTGAACCGTAGAGCTAGTCGTTAGACTTTTGTTGGTTTTTGGACCAATCTATAGCCTAATCTTAAATGTACAACCAACTTTGATTATAATTTTCCCTAACTGAAAACAAAGCTAATTTCTTATCTAGATGGTGGGTCAACGATCCAACTTTTCAAAGAAACCCATGATGTCAATAATTGAATATAAAATATTTAAAAAAAAAGATAGAACACCAATAATGAAAATGCACATAATTTTGTTGAAAACATTTGAGAACGCTTCTAATGTTATGTATTTATCATATTAAATAAAAATAATTATTTAAATAAAAGTTATTTTTATTTATGACAAAAATGGAATACAAAATTTACTACTACTACTACTACTACTACTACTACTAATAATAATAATAATAATAATAACAACAACAACAACAACAACAACAACAATAACAATAATAATAATAATAAATAATAATAATAGTAGTAATAATAATAATAATAATAATAATAATTGCTATTTGCTACAAGCATTTAAGTTTATTTTTAATCATATTGTTACTTTTGTTAATTTTCAATTTCTATCTTAATTATGATATATCTAAAATTCAAATAATTAATATGAAGAAAAAATTCTCACGTGCAATGCATGTGCTTAATCACTAGTCATTAAAAAAAGGGTAAAAGACTTAAACCTCTCATAATGTTTCACCTAAATAATGAAACATCCCCCATTTTATAAAATGGACTAAGACCTCCCCTATGAGTGATGTTAACAAACAAAACCCTCCCATCCATTTGGCTCTCTATTCATTTATGTCAGAACATGACATCATGTGTAGTTTAAGTTTTCTGAAGAATCCAATTTTGCCCTTGGAGAAAATATTGTGTGACTTGTCTAATGTGGACAAAAACCTCCCCTTTCTTGACCTTCTTCCATAGAAAATGTAATAAGAAAAACGAGTTAGTGAGTAAAGATGTTGTTTGACATCATCCATGATCAAGCTGATTAACATTGTATGGATATATGCAGCTAATTCCCCAATTTTCTTTTAGGCAAAATTTACAAAAAACTATAAAAATCTAATCAAACCCACAACATATTATAATTTCCCTATAGATAAAAAACTATATATATATTTTTTTCTTTTGTGGAAAACTAAAAAGATTATTTTGATTTCCCCATACGACTTCCTTATAAAAGAATTGGTAATGAACCCATACTATTCCAATATAAACATCCCCTCATTCCAATGTTTTCACCAATTCCAAGGCAATGGGGTTTTTTTCTCTAAATTAATGAGAAAATATAGTGGTGAGGCAGCAGGTTGCCATTGGTTTGGGTACAGAACTGCACACACTAAAGACAGACGTTGTGAATTCCCTTTTTTACTCATTTCTTCCAGAGAAGAGTACGGAGGTTTGATCCCGCGCCTCTTATTTAAAAGGCATGCTGACTGACCATCTAACCTACTGTCTCAGCGGCAATGAAACGTTAGTCGTCACACTATTATTGTTGTTCTGGTAGCCTGTTACGGCATACGACCTTCAGTCTTACACTTGCAGGTTTTCCAGGCACCAATTATGGCTGTTCTTATCCCAAATTTCCATATATATAGAGATGATCTTGAATTCCAGCAACGAAGAAGAAGAAAAAACGCGCGCCATATTCACGCAAGTAGTAAAAAGTTCGTAGAGCAAGTCAGTCTACCTCTCATCCAATCACAACTCACAGCTGGTATCTTTATTCACACCGTTTCTCTTTGATTTTTTTTTCTCTAGCAATTAACGATTAAACACTAATGTTAGGCAGAAGAAAAAGGATTTTGATTAACTTCCTGTCTCTCTGGTTTGTTTGTATGGAAGATAGTTCCATTGCATTGAACGCCAGGGCCTTTGCTACCAATTTCGAGATTTAAGATTTAGTGGATTCAATCAATGTTTGTGTCTTTATTTTTAATGGGAATTAAATAGTTTAGAACCCCTGATAAATTACCTTGGAAAACATAAAAAATCTCACCTTGGAGAACCTTAGTCTGTGCTGCGGATTGGCTTATCTTGTGGGTCTAGATGATGGGTTTGGAGAGGACGATGTTGTTCACATTCCGTTGAGACAACAGATGGAAATGTTGCCATGGAGTTGCTTAGGTGACCTTAAATCAGATTACCATCTTCTTCAAAGAGAAAGTAGGCGATGGGCGGTTTCCAGAACGGTGAGCTCTTCATGGCGACAGGTAGGAGCGAGTGCTGGTTTATTGGAGGTCGTAGCTTTTGGCGTATCTGTAGGGTTTAATGGCCCTGTGAATCGTGAGGCCTCACCGAGGCCTGAGGATTTTCTTCAATGCTAGCTGATAGAGTTCAGGTCCGGGTTATTTCTGACTCTGCAAAAGAAAAGCAAGGTACGGGCTCTTTAGCTTTTTTCCTCGTTGAGCCAGGAGAGTAGGGATTTAGGTGATGGTTCTAATGAAGGATTTTCAGAGGGAGGGGAGTTGGGAGATGGGGAGGTGAGTTGAGCTAGGGTGGAGGCGGTGGAAGAGGGGGTAAGCAATGAATTCAAGAACAGGGAGGAGGGAGGCGGGCGACAAGGAAGAAGAAGACAACATAAAAGGAGGAGAGGGTAAGAAGGTGAGCTCTATAAAAAATTTGATTCAAGTTCTTGAGTTGGGGGTCGAATCTGACTCTTTGGTCTCTGAACTCTGAAGTGGTATTGGAAGATTGGGAGTTGATTTTGGTTGCAGGGGGGAAGGAGGCTATTTTGGCTGAAAGCTGTGATGCTTTGGAAGGTCCAAAGAAACCCAGAGCTTCAAGAAAGTTCAACATTGTTCATGTTACAAAGGTTTTTAAGTTTTTTTGAGACCGAAAGATGGCCTGGTGGAGGCAGGGTCGATCAACAAATACAAAAGAGTTTATAAAAGAAGAGGTGCAAAACATATAAATATTAGTTCTTAGAAACCTCATATTGGAGAATCAACCTTTACAAGGAGGAGGTAGGATGGAGATTCATCCGGTGGATCCTCAAGGTGAGGAGCTGAAAAAGATTGATGTGTTAGAGGAGAAGGCTAGCAGGGATTAAAATGAAAGCTTTGAGGTATCTTTGGATGCGGTGCCAGAGGAGGAGATAAAGAAGGGAAGCTTAGATTTGAAGAAATTAGTTGTCAAAGAGGTGGAAGTTGGCAAGAATTTGGGCTTGTTCTTTATGGGAGGTAAGAGCTTTGCTAGGAGAGCCTTTGAAGCATTCAAGAGGATGAGGAAGGAAAGCTTCGAAAGTGGTAGGAGGAGAAATATGGGATGAGGAAGGAGTTTTGGAAGAGTTTGGAGAGGTTGAGGATTAATTTGAGCTCTGTTGGAGTTATGTAGGTGCTGCTGTTTTTGTGCAAGAATGGCTTAGTTTTAGTTTCCTTTTTCTGAAGATCATTCTACGATGGGTGGGAGGTTTTATGTTGTGACTGTGGGGTGTTATCTTAACACCTGTCATTTGGTTGTAATAAGCTTTTCTTTCCTTTTAATAAAATTTTCCTTTTTACATATCGAAAAATAAAAAAGAGAAGATAGAAGAGCTCAGAAGTAGACTGGTTCCTGTTGAACTTTATTTTTTGTTTGTTTATTCGTTTTCCTTTTTTTGGTTTTTAGTTGTTTTTTTTTTATGTTTAATAATGAGAGCTAATTTTATGACTTTTTTTTTCTTGGATTATTTCCAGGCATCTACGTGATATGTTTATTGAAAATAACGATCTTCACTGTCCTCCACTGGTATTTTCCTGCAGGTATTTAATATCATACTGCTGAATGATGGTTATCTGTGAATATTGTAGTAGTTTTAGTGATTATCTACCTTATGTTGTTGTTTTCTCTCTTTCTAATATGTATGCATAGGATGATGTTTTGTCTACTATGTTCAACTGCATCCTTAACTGTGTATATTTTAGTTTCAAGAAATTCACTTTTCACAAATAAATGATAGTAAAATTACTGGAGCATCTGTTGATAGCTCTGAAACTTATTATGCTAGAAAATTATCATATGAGATGATTTTATGTATATCAATTGACACAAAAGGACACATTAAACAAGAAAAAGGTTTAATGCTATGCTACATAACATGAACATGCTTCTATTAAATAAATGATTATTCAGTATTGAAGCATGTATTGATTGCTTTACAATAATTTATAATGTATATCAAATGACATGAGAAACCGCATTGTTAAAACAAAAGGAAATCATCAATGCTATATATAGCATGAATATATTTTCTGATCAGCATTTTGAAATTTTATAGAAGAAAATGAGTAGATTTCAAAGAACTAATCCAAGGATAAGTGTTAGATAGTGTATTCCCTTAGCTCCAATCAGAATGATGTACATTATGACATTTATTGTAAATGAATAAAGTACGTATTTGATTCATTTTATTATGGTGTGTTTCTGTGTAATACCCTTAAACTGGACATATATGAGACTCGTGTTAGTCTAGAATCTTTACAGCCGTTGGATAGATCTGGGGAGATTTATCCTGTCAAGGCTGACACTGGTGTGCCGCCAAGTTGGTTGCAGTGGCTTGTCTCAGCTGCCAGGGTGAAACCTGAGGTACATGCAGTGTGGGTTTTCTTGAAACCCTGAACCGGACCAGAATTCCAGTATTGCCCTGGACCTTGGAGATTGATGGGCAAAACTGGAATGTTACACATGACCCCTAGACTTCATTATGATACTGCACTAGGTGTCGGATTGGACTGTCTTTGATATGCCAATCAGTGAGATCCTTAGAGGGGGTCAAAACCTAGGTATGCTGGGGCAGTCTGAGAATTCATCTGAGTGGGTGATCATAGTGACATGATCAACCCCTTTGTCGGACAAAGTGAATGATCAGGGATGCACTCTCTCTGATGGAAACCAAAGCTGCCGGCAGTCGATTTCAATCGTAGAAATTTGTTTTTGCAAAATATATTTATATAAAGATTTACATATATATTATGGTTTCAAAATGTTTGCAAAAGGTTTTAATTCCCGGGATCCATGTGAATAGAGAGTGCAGCGTTGTTCCTTGCAGCCGAGGGAGATGTTCTCTCTTGTCGGGCAGTGTTTGATCATTATGGGCTGAGAGGTTAAGTGTAAGACCATTGAGAGTAATACCTGATGGGCTAATCTTGCATCTGCCTACAGTCGTTGGGTTTTTTATAAGGTGACTTGACCCAGGACCACTTAGTGTAAGTGTTGGGCCCATTAAGAGCCCATGGTGATGGGCTCAAGGGTTCACTGTTTCCTACAGTGAATTCGGCCAGGCATTGTAACAGAGGCTGGGCTGAACCCATGTGGCTGATGTGTAAATCAATGTTTGGGTCCCACGCCATACAAGGATACCCGACTGGGCAACAGTTTAGAGGCTGAATGAGCACATGAACTTAATGGGCCTAAAGCCTAAATCGAACTTGTTTAATTAGATTAATTAAAGAGGGGCGGTTCTGGGATTTGGATTAGCAGATATGATAGGGAGTTATCCCTATCTACTCAGAGAGTCCAGATCCAAATAATGATTTGGATTAGGAAACTCCTAATTAGATTAGGAGGGCTGATCTTAATCTGCAGACTACTGCCGCCATTGCCAGTTCGTTCTCCACCTGTAGGAGCGATCAAGAAGCATTCTTGATATCAGTTTTTGGTGAAAAAATGATTTGAAGTCGTGCTCACTCACCCTCCATCGAATTCTTGCTGAAGAGTTCGGTTCTTGGGAAGAACCACCTGCTAATTCTGCTCCACCCTATGCTGTGTCATCTTCAGTGGGAGCAATCTTTGGCGTTTTCCTTGGTTGTGAACACCTTTGTTGGGAGTTACTGTTACTCCGTATCAAGTATATCCCTCTCCTACCTTTTGGTTTCAGATCTGGTTCGGTTTAGGGTTCAAGATTGATCATTGAAAAAACAATTTTCTAAAACAGGGAATGTGATTCTCATATGGGAGAGAGAAATTTTTGAAATTTTGCCCTACCTACCTACAGGGTTCGGCTATCCATATGATGGATCTCTCATCCCTTCAATAAGGGAAAATTACAACTTGTTATATTGTCCTGAAGCAGAGAATCTCTAAAGACAAAAATTAGCAAGGGAAAACTGAATATTATTGTTTTGAAATGGATTTATCAGATCTAATTTATTAAACAGAGGTGGTAGGATAGACTGATAAATAAAAGGGCAATGGGAGAATGAAAGTGATATTGCAGAATTTTCTCAACATTGCATTTATGATCAAGTCATGCCATCTAAATTGAAGGAGATGCTGCAAGTAATGGGTCTGAAGAATTAGATTTTCCAGCACAGCTGGTCAAGGTTGAGATCTTTATGAAGTGCCATAATGATATCGATTCATCTTCTGCAATATTAGAAAACCTAACATCTACATGCAAACTTGAAGTGTGCATTGATTTCCTCCTTGTTTAGTGATAAAGATGTTTAAAATGGGGCTTGGATTTCCCTATTGGAGAGCATTTCATATTAGTCAGTATAAATTTAGTGTTCTAATTGTTGTGGTACAGATGTTTCTCCTTGAAAGAGATCCTCTCTATATTGTGTCTGGTCATGGTTGGGAGCTGCAGCTGGTAATTAGGAGCTGTTAAATCTGGAATTTTTTAACACACAAGAATGTCTATGATTAGAAAGCTTACCAACTTTCTCCTTTGGGGCAAAGGTTAAGGTCTGATAGGAGGGGTTTAGGGTAGCACATACTTGGGCAAGATCTTGATGGTTGGTATCTTGATTTTCCTGATGCCTTTTATGTATGTAGAGAGATTGGGCTAAGTTTACCGTAGTTTTGTTTATTTATTTAGTGACTTTATTTCTTCTGTAGTGGACCTTCTTTATGTGCCTTAAAACTTTTAATTTCTTATTTGCCTTGGGTCAGTCACCTAACTAGGGGCACCCATATAATTTTTTCTTTCTTTTTATTCAGCATATATAAATTGATTAAGGGTTAGAGAGAGGGGTTCGATTCAGCTCTCTTCTACTCCCTCTTTCTTCCTCTTTCTCCTAAACATTTCTTCTTCTTCTTCTCCTTATTTTTCTACTTTACAATCAGGATTATTGCTGGATTATATTTCTTCTTGGTATTAGTATAAGCTTCCACTTCCTACTCTTTTTTTTTTTTTTTTTGGCCCATACATAGTGTGTATGGAGAATTAAGTTGCTGGTCAATTGAAAATTGATGTTGCCCAATTTGGTGAGATTTCTGGAGAAGATTAAACATTTAGATTGAGGCCCAAGACATGTTCTTGGAGTTTTTTCCCGGAAACCCTAGTTGATTAGAGAAATCAGATTAAGGGGGTCTAGAGATAGTTTGAAGCTGGCATTTGGGGCGAAGTTTATTGACCTATTTGGAGATCAGCTTTGGTTGGAGAAGCTTTTGAGTCCTTGACAGGAGCCATAAGTTCTCTTTCTTCCGTTCTTCCAGGTACTATGAAACCCTTGTTTTTGGCTTCAGAGAAGCAAGTTTTGCTTCAAGTTAGTGTTTTTTGATTATTATAATCTTATTTTTATTTTTGTTTGTTTCTATTTAATCATTGGAGCAAATTGGAGTTGAGACAAAATATCCTACAAACTCTGGATGTAGCCAGGGGGTCTGTGGGGACTTTGTTTGGGGTAGTGACTGTTGTGAAGCTAGATGGGAGTCATGGGACTAACTATTTGGCATGATCTCAATCAATAAAAAATCATGTCTGTGTTAGAGGAAAATGGGGTTACATCAGAGGAAGCAAGAACATTGACTAAGCCAATAGATCTGATTGGCTTTTAGCCCTTCCAGATTTTGACTAAGCCAATAGATCTGATTTGTTAAAGGATTTCTGGAGTGTTCTTGATCTCCAACCTTGTAATGTGGATTTATTTTTAGTATGAGTTGTTCTTTTTTTGTTTTGGTGTGCCAGTTTGACAATCAATTGCTCTAAAATATATCTTTATTTCATTTTAATGAAAAAATTCTTCTTTATCCTTCAAAAAAAAAAAAAAAAAACTAAGGAAGATAATCCTACCTATGAGAAGTGGATGCAGGAGAATTGCACTATTGTAGGCTGGTTAGTGAATTCTATACAACATCATATTCGTTAACACTACTTGTGGGTAGAAACTATTGAGGAGGTATGGGATAATGTTAAAGAGACCTACTTACTAAAGTTGAATGTTGCTAGGTTTTATAAATTAAAGAATGATGTGAATAATTTGAGACAGGGGAGAAGCTTTTAGCCGTGCATTTCTTAATGCTAAAGTCTCCCTAGCAGGAAATTAATTTGATGGAGATGGTTCAATGGGGTGCACAAAAGATCTTAAAACTCATAGGAAACTAGTGGAGAGGAATCGAGTTTTTGAGTTCCTCATTGGACTTCAATCCTGAATATGATATAGTTGGAATGCTTTAGCTAAAGATGATGTGACCCTTTCTCAGGTTTATGCTATGGTTAGTAGTGAGGAAAGTAGAAGACAAGTTCAAATTGTGGAAGTCCTAGTAGATCATTTTGCTAATGCTGGGACAAAGCAGAATGTGAGTGTTGAGAGGAAGGAGGTTGTGTGTGAATACATAAATATTGCAAGAATCTGAAGAACACAAAAGACATCTGTTGGAAGTTGCATCTAGAGCTCCTACCTTCTAGATTTAAGAATAACAGTAATGACAGAAAGAGTGGGAATGGAAAGGAGCAAGGTTAATGTAGCCACCTCCACTTATGGTGAAAAGGGGCAATGTGATGAGAAGTTTGTGGGGGAATTAAATTGTAGCCATCAGGGCTGAATATGAGAGTATGGCCATGTTAGTAGTCATTTGGAATCTACCTCTTCAAGGGTTGTTTCAGAGATTGTTGGGGAAGCTTCTATTACCTTTGTATGAAACATCCATCTTATGCTGTGAGTGTGATTAGCCAGTTTATGTATGCACCCAGAGAACACATATGGCTGCTATAGAAAGAGTGCTATGTTATCCTAAGGGAACTCCCAGGAAGGGTATCCTCTTTGCTTGCTAAGCATGGTCATTTGAAGTTAGAGGCCTATACAAATGCTGACTGGGTAGATAGTATAGATGATAGAAGATCTACTGATCCACATTGAGTTACTATGCCATGGTAGTTGGACATATTGTCTCCTGGAGGAGTAAGAAGCAGTTTGTACTTTGTAGTTGCTCAATCTTCAGCTGAGGTAGAGTACAGGGCTATGGCCCATGAGATTTTAGAGTTGTTATGGCTTATATCTTTCCTAGAAGAGATGGGTATTGTTTATGATAGGCCGTTGATGTTGTATTGTGACAATCAGGTTGCCATTAACATTGCTCATAACCCAATTCAGCATGACAAAACTAAACACATTGAGGTAGATAGACACTTCATACAAGAGAGAGTGGCCTCAAGGGAAGTGTGTCTTCCTTTTATCTCTTCAGAGGAACAACTAGTAGATACCTTGACCAAGGGAGTTCCTAAGGCGAAGCTCAAACATTATGTAAGCAAGCTGGGCATGATTGACGTCTATGATCAGCTTGAGGGGGAGTGTAGAGAGATTGGGCCGAGTGGGCCTTAGTTTTATTAATTTATTTAGTCACTTTATTTCTGCTGTAGTGGACCTTTTTGTCCTCTTTTTTGGTAGCTTTTTACGTTACCTGATATCCTTGGTGCGTAAAACAGTCTTTGCACAATGTGGTCAGCCTCCATATTACCTAATCATTGTATGTCTTTCATCTCATACTTCTGCTTTGTCAATTGTCATCTCTAGTAGTATAATCATTGCTTGGTAGTAGGAACACTTCATTGAGCAGAACTTCTGTTGCAGATACATTGGCTCCAATCTGGCATAGCTATGGTTGATACAGAACCTGTTATTATGGGGATTGAATCAGCAACCTCTCTGATAGAACAGCTTGGCAGGTCATTCCATGAACTAGATTTTCACAAGGATGTTGCTGGCATTACAGTTCAGTGGAAGGAAATTGAAGAACATTTCTACAATCTTGAGAGGATGTTGAAGGAGAGATCTGTTGAATTAGAAGCAAAGGAAAAAGAATTTAAGGAAAAGGAATCTGTGATCCAATTATTTCTTGCAGAGAGAGAAGTGGCCGTTGCTGCTAAAGAACAGGCTTCAGTTGATCGGGTTCAGGCAATAAAAGAAACTGCTGCTGATGCCATTGCAGAAGCAAGGGAAAAAGAAAACTTGTTTCTGGAGTCTGTCAATGTTGCAGGCAACAGAGAAAGAAAAGTAAGCACCCTATAGAATGCTGATACTAATAATCCTTGCATTCAATCAACAAAGAACCGGAAAATGAGGTTGCTGATTCTTTGATTAGTGTAGGACAAAAATTTCAAAAATACTTTAAAAGAATCGAGTTTTTCTCTTTATTTTTTTTTTCTTTTTAAGTGTACATGGTTTCCATTTATTTTTCTAAGATTGCTTAGAGATGTATTTTCCTGTTTAGTGTTAACTTTTTAATATTTAATGTGGTTTAATATAATACTCTCTATTAGCCCCAGGCTGAAATGATATTTTTTGTTCTTTCATCATTTTTTTCATGCTTTTTTTTTTTGTTTTACTTCCCCTTTCATTAGGTGTTTTGTTTTTTTTTTAGTATTTGTTATTCATAATTTTTCTTTTTTCAAATTATTTTTGTCATATTTTATTTATTCCTTTACTTTCAGCCCCAAAAATATTGTTTCAGTCTGGGGCTAAAAGAAAAAATCTTTTTTGTTTTCATTTTTCATGTGCAACCTTCATACTTGGGGTTAACAAGGTATGCTGTTTCTTTATTTATCAAAAAAAGAAGGGTATGTTGTTTCTTTGTATTATTTTCTACTCTTAAATGTTATAAATGCTTATGGCCATCATTCATTCTCTAATTATAGTTGAATAATGAAAATGGGCTGTCTTGCAGGATAGTTTCGTGGATCATTCTGCTTTGTGCTCTCCCAGAAAAGGGAGGGATGACTGTCACATCAACTGTGCATTATCTTTGCAAGAACAAAGAGACGCTGATAGAGTTCCTAAACAAAGTACTGATGAAGTTTCAAATGATGGAATTACACCAGGTACTGGTGCAGTTTCATTCTGTTCAGGGGATGCCACTAGATTCCAATATGAGGATTTTCTTAGAGAATACAGTGGGCAAGGAACTCAACAAAATGATTGTATATGCTCAAATAAGATAGCTTCTGAAGTTAAAAATGATGTTGTTGGGATAAAAGAATTGGATGCCCATGCTAATAATCTGGTCAAATGTCCAACTTTGTCAACTAAACCTATCAATGTAAAAACTGAATGCTCCGATGGTGACTTGCTAAGTCCATACAAAGATGATATAAATTGCCATGATCATGTTCCTAAACCAAATGCTATTGATGTTTTTACTACAGTAGATTCTGGTAAAGTACAAAATGCTGGTGGCTGCAAGAATGAAAATTTGCCTAGTGACTGTAATAGTCAAGGAGATCAAGATAATTCCCTTAAATGCTCAAATAAGATGATCTCTGAAGCCAATGCTCTTGTTGTTCGGAAAAATGTAGATTTCCATGTTCGTAATCTGCTTCCACATCCAACTTTATTAAATTCTTCTGTCAAAGTTAAGGTTGAATGTTCTGATGAGCCCCTAACAAGTCAACAGACTCAACACAGAGATTATATAAATGGCTATGCTGGAGGGCTTCCTGGAAAAGATGATGCTGAAGTTCCAAAAAGTGGAACTATGGTGGATTCTGGAATAGTTGCTAAATATTCCCAAAATGCAAATGGTTATCAATATGAAGATCTGCCTGGGAATTGCAATATCCAAGGAACATGGGCAAATGATTATTTTTGCTCACGTAGGGTGACTGCACCTGTAGTTAGAGGCAGTGCTTTTGAGCCTGAAAAAATGAACTTCCATGCTCATAATCTGCCCCAGAATCTCCCTTTATCAACCTTTCCTGTCAAAGTAAAAGTTGAATATCCTGATAACTTTGGAGAATATCCCTTTGGGGATGGCATAAATTTCTATGCTGGTAGAATTCTTGAAGTTAACACTGCTGAAGTTCCAATAAATAAAGATACAATAGACTTGCCTGGAGGTTGCAATAGGCAAGTAACTCAAACAAATAAGCTTATCTGCTCAGATCAGATGACACTTGAAGGCAAGGTTGTTGGTCCAAATTCAGTGACTGTTCATGCCCACAATCTGCCTCAGCACCCTCAACTGTCAACTTTTCCTGTCAAAGTAAAGATTGAACATTTGGATAACAACCTAGTAAGTTCACAAAGCAATTGTATACATGGTTCTGCTAGTGAAGATAAGCAATTAGCTAAGGTCAATAGTGAAATTCATGGGGAATTCGGAACTGATGATTATGATCACATTGGGTTGAAAGAGAAGCAAAGGATGCTCTTATCAAGGTATCATTCTCTTCTTAATGATTTGGAATACCCAAAAATTAGCAGTTCTTGTGCTAATAAATGTTTATGCATAACTCATTACGGTCTTAAGCCAAGTGGCATAAATATTGGGTACTAAAAGAGATAATATTGATATTATGCTGTAGATATTTGAGTTTCATTTGTCCTCTATTCTTTTAAATTTAACAAAGGATTGAGATAATTGTTTTTACTATTTTAGGAACCCTGTTGGAATGGCTGCAGAAATGGATGCTTCAAACCTTTCAGAGGTATATAGGCTTTCTACTTTTGTTTGACTGATGTTATGTTTGGTTAAATATTATGGGAAGTTTATTGATAAAAAAAATTATGGGAAGTACATATAAGTTGTAACTTTTCATCATTACTTAAGTCTTCTCCCAACTACATGGGGTCATCTACATGAATCCTGTTCTGCCATTTGGTTCTATTCAGTGCTATATCCATTATTAAATACCAGGCCTTAAATCATATCTAACTATTTCAATGTGTGTTCTTTTTTGTTTTTCCTTGGCTGTTCTAGCCCCTTTAACTTGTAACAGATCATTTCTTAGTTCTTAGTGGTGCTGTATGTGGTCCTCTCTGCAAGACCATCATAGTCTACTTTCCCTCATTCTATTTCCTATGCTATTCCTAGGTTTGTTCAAATAAGTTCATTTCCAATCCTATCTTTCTAGTCTTCCCACTCATCTGTCAAAATTTGAATTTTTACCACTCATTTTGGATGCTATTTCTTGACTACCCAACACTTAGTTCCATACAATATTGCTGGCCTTATAACTGTCTTATACAATTTTCAATTTAGCTCAAGTGGTATTCTCCTATCAAATAAGACTCCAGATGCAAAACCTCTCCATTTTGTCCATCCTGCTCTAATTCATTGGTCTTCACCATCCTAAATCTCTCTCTTCTTGTTATGGATTAGAGTCAAGGTAATGGAAGAAAAATTTTATGCTATGACTGTTTTATTCAAAGTTTTCAGCTTTTAGCTCATTGACTTATCAAGAAGTTTTTTTTTTAGTATTTTTGGTGTAAAAGAAAATGGAAACTCATTTATATTCAACAATTAGTTATTTCTTTTTTTCTGAGAACAAGGCATACTGTCATCAATTTTGTAGAATATTGTGGCACTGTTTTGTTTTGTCCATAGTGGTAATTTTTGCTGTTTCATCTTATGAAATAATTGTCATTAGAAAGGTCTCATAGACCAATCACATTTTGTCTCTCAGTATTTCTTTTTCACTTGTTTCTGTTCTACTGTTCTTTTACTTAATCTGATATGACAAGTTGTTAGTGGAGCTGTTTGACTGATTTCTGCTGACTGCTGCACATATGATACTTGCTGATGTCATCAAGATGCATAAATGATGTCAGCAGTTGTACAAATGGCTACTCCTTGAAGAATTAACCCTAGATTCTGATAAAACTTGAATATAGGGTTATTTTCATGGTGGTTAGTAATCAGATTGGGTCTGATATGCAGTTTTCATGTATTTTTCTGGAAAATAAAGTAAATTCAGCTCTATAGTTCTCTGATCACGCAATTGATTTGGAGAAGCTTTTGCAGTTAGGGTTGATCGGTTCAGTTCATGTGAAGTTTGAGGATCTAGTAAATGGTCTCACGTTGTGTTTCATGCTGTTTTCAGAATTTGGTGGTGAAATGTCTCTTCCTTGTTATTGCTAGTTATTATATGTCTTCTTTTAGACCTTGTTCTTATTCCATAACATAGGGTTGGCAATTTGTTGAATTGGGGGCAGTTTGAACTTTGAAGACCGACCAACTGACCCATGAACCATCCATACCTGCAGAGAATCAGGATTTGGGAGGGCACCTGACATCCAATTGTCTATCCATCACCCAACCCAGTCCACCTACCTAAAATCAAACCAAATGGGTTGTTATTTGTTAACTCATACAACCAAGTAGATAGGTGGGTTTGGATGGGTTATAAGGGGGTTTGGATGAGTTATTTGTTAACTCATACCTCAGGTGGTGATTGTTATGAGCTTGTTATCTCTTAAGAAATGCTTCTTTAAGTGCATGGGTGATAGTTTCCTTTGTCTGGACTGTTGATTGTGGTTCAGTTCATTGGCTTGCTCCTCTAATCTCTGTAGGAGCTTTTTGTGAGGGAAAATTTTGTTGGTTTCCAATTGCATACAACAGATTGAAAGGGTTGAGAGATGTTAACAATACAGGACTTGAAAGCTACTTTAGGATCCAGTTTGAGCTCCATGGGGATAAGTTAGGGTTGCAACCGGATCGGATCTAGCTACGTCAGCATCTGCATCCGATTATCAAACCTTGGGTCATCTCACCCCAAAATAGTGGATTTCATCCACATCCATCTTATTGTGTTTAAAATGACAAAAATTAAAAAATAAAAACTAATTATTTTTAACTTAATACATATATAATAAATGTATATAAATATAAAAAATTAAATTTATCAGTTATAAACTTGACATAATTATGCATATATACACCCAATACTACACAGACATATATAAGAGTTTTTTTTATTGGACTCAGATTCTAATTGGATTGGATGAGGTTAAATCCACATCTGATCTGATTTTTAATCAGATGCAAGTTCTAACATTCAAATCTGTGATAATTGGATTTAAAGTCGAATTGGGTGTTGGACTTTTGGAGTCCATTGTCAGCCCTAGGATAAGTAACAAGAAATGAATGTGATTGACATTCTTACTGTGTATATATATATAAGGATAAACATCTAGAAACTTTTGTCTTTGTTGCTGAAATCTCATTCATGTTGATTATTTGAAGAGATGCCTCCAAACAAAGATCTCTTACTTTTGGTGGCATCACCCAACCATACACTTAAAGGAGACACTCTTTGACTGGGCTTATGTTTGGCTGGGCAAACAATGTTTAGAAAGGTCCATGGAGGCTTGCTTATTTCCTTGGAGAAATCAGGGAGATCTCAGCTTCTTTGAACTGTTGCTTCAGATGGATTCCTAGGGAAATGAAAATTTTTGGTAGATGACTTAGCCAAAGCTGGTGTATTTTTTTTGGTGCATGTGTGTATGTGGAAATACTCTGCCTATGGGTATTCCTGGTCTGATATGTTTTCTTTATGTATTGCTTGTACATCTCCGCATGTGCATCCTTCTCCTTTCCTTTTGCAATGAAGTTACCTTTTTCTAATAAAACAGAAGACACTCTACGGCATAGAGGTTGTAAGAAGGCACTCTCTAAGGTAATGAAGCAAAGAAGCCACTTCCTCATTCCTATGGGTTTTTATAGGGCCTTTCCTAACGCCCAAGTCTGAAGACAACTCAGTGGTGGAGAGTGATCCATTATAAGATATGGGAAGAAATCTATACGAGGAAATAGAGTATGGTGTTAAGAATTTGTGGGTGGGGCACTTCCACCACATGTCCTCTAAGAAACCTTACCCTACTTCATGGCGTTTCTCCTGATGAATTGAGAATGGATTACTTAAGTTGCTTTTCTAGGATATGAAAATTGCCTCTCTTTCAGGTCCGGCATCCTAGTTATTTTTTTGGCCCATATATTCCCTTCCTTGTAGGGGCCATTACTTTCTGTAATGGTAAAATCTTGGGCTGGCAAGCGTGAGAACGCAAGTTTGAATCTTTGGGCAGCCACTTTGTTTGAAAAGAAGTAAAGGATTACCATACCCAGCGTACCCATCCCGAGACCCTAGATAGCTAGGGCCTACATTGGGTAATGGCCTTTTTTATATGCCCCTCTTTGGATTCTCCATTCTCATTCTCCTATATACAGAATTATTCCTATCATGACCCACAATTTCTAATCCTCCATCCTTACTGTTCTTGAATATGATTTTCTATTTTACCAAGTGCTCTTTCTTTATCCCTCCCAGAATCCTTTCCTAATTTTGATGAATTCTTTGTTACACCAATTAACTATCAAAAAAAAAAAAAAAACTAGAAAAAGAAGACCATTGGAGACTGTTCAGGTAACTTCAACAAGTTGGACTCTTTCTATTGGTTTTTGGCTTTCACTAATGCTTGAGCAGTGCTTCCTCCATCTCAGATGCTAAAATGAGCCTTGCAAAAGGTGAAATTGACTATTAAACACATTGACTATCTGCCATTTCTATTTTCCTTTTATAAGTTCCTCCTTTGGGGAATTAACAGAAAAACATCCAATTTCCGTTTACACCTTGTTTTGCAAGCTAATCAACTAAGCTGTTAGCTGATTATTATTAAACTTCCATAACCACTTTTGAGATAGAAAAAGAAGCATTATGGAGGAGGTCTATATAGGCTGGCTCAATTTGAATGGGAGTTTTAGCAACCTATGGGGTCGGTAAGTGTCTGGAAGGGCATTGTGAAGTTTCATCAGGAGTTTGTAGCTTTGACAAAATTTAAGGTGGAGTAGGGGAGTAGGGTGAGGTTTCGACTTTTGAGAGGATGAATGGTGTGGTGTGGAAAGTATAGTCAGGTCTGTATGCCTATACCTATAAAAAAGTTAGTGAGGTGTGCCCTAAAATATTGCCAGCCAAAGGTTAAGAATATAACTGTTAAAAATGTTTTCAAATAAGGGGTTGGTAACTATTTTGGTGCCCAACTTTCAGGTGGTCTTTGTTGGAATGGGAGATAGAGGATTATATCCATCATTTTTGGAAACTGGAACTAAAAGGGAGGAGATTTTCTATGGAAAATCAGTGTTGTAGCAGATTCTAAGTTGGTGATAGGATGGTGAAAGGACCTGGATGCAGTAATATGGGCTTCTAGGAATAAAATAAAGGGGTTTAAATGGCTTACTAGCAATATGACTTTAAGAATTCAATGGGAAAGAAGATCCACTAATGGAACGACAAATACTTTAGCTAAACAAAGGGTTATCAGGGATCAATTATTCTCAGCTCATTTTCAATTTGAATTTTTGCTCTGTGAGAGGCTCCACCTTACACCTCTCCTTGGGCATCTTGTAATGTTTGTGGTTTATGATATTCTCAATAAAATTGTTCTGTTTACTTATCAAAAAATCAGTGTTGTAACAGATTTTGTATGGAGGTATTTTTGTGAGTCTGGTAAGAAAATTCAGACATGAGCCATCAAGTCCTAAAGAAGTATTCCTGAAATGGAAAATCTGTTCTAGAAACAAAAACACACGATTATCTTGCTTCAAAAATACTTAGGTACCGGTTTCATGTTGTTCTCTAAGAAGGGTTATACGTTATAGTATGAAAGCTCTTTTTGAAAGGATTTGCTACTTTTCCCTTCCCAGAAAATTTGC